AAAAGAAAATCTTAAAAGACATATTAAATAACACAGGGACAACAATAACGATGGAGCAGATTTCTCATCAGAAATAATGCAAGCCCCACAGATGACTTTCCAAGAAAAATGGGCAACTTACAATAAAAATATTACAAAATGCAAAAGAACAAGGTACCATGAGTAGAAACAGACCCTGAAGTCTGAAGATACTGTAATTAATGGACAGAGAATATAAAAATAACTATGTCCAGTCTGCATAAAAAAAAGTACCTTGATAATATAAGGCGATAAGTATATTTGAAAAATACTAGAACTTCTATAAATGAAAAATTTTATAATGTAATTAATTAGCATATTAGAAGCTGAAGATCAAATCTGTAAACTGAAAGATAAATCTAAATAAATTATCCAGAATACAGCCCAAAGGAAAAAAGATAGACGATGTCAAAGATAAGTGATATGGAAGACAGAGTGAGGTATAACATGTTTAACTGGTTTCAAAAGGAGATAAGAGAGGAGATGGGGAAGAGGAAGATTTGAAGTGACAATGGCTAGAATTTTCTAAGAGTTGTCTGTTGAAAGACATCAATCTTCAAATCCAGGAAGCTTACCAAATCCCAAGCAGGTTATACAAAAGAAACCAGTGCCAACCACCTCTCCACCAAAGTCTTAAAAGCAGCCACAAAGGAAGGCAAATGATCTTAAGTGGATTCTTGAGATGCAAGAATAAATGGTAAACAAATAAATAAATATGTGGGTAAATTTAAACAAATGTTAAATATATAAAACAATAACAATGCCTAACTTGTTGGAGGGCATCAGGCAGAACTACAGAATTGCAAAACAAGAGAATATAAGTTAGGTAGGGGGTGATCAGAGTTAAAATGCTTAAAGTTCTTATGATAAAGATAACTAGGTAATTGCTAAAAGGATGTAGACTGCATAATTTCCAAACAAGTAGAGGAAAAAATATGTCAAAAAACCCATTTCAAATAAAAAGAAGATAAAAATGGACAGGAAAGAAAGAAACACAAAAAAATGGTACAAATAGAAAGTACATAAGATAGTAGGAAAAAATCCAAAAATATAAGCAGCAATATTATTCAATTGTGAAAATGAACGATAGCTACATATATCAATATATATGAATCTGAAAATCATAACATAAAGCAAAAGAATGAAGTCACAGAATAATAGTACACATGATCTCTTTTTATAGAGCTAAAAAGAAAACCCAAATAACATATTATTTTGAGATACATACCTAGAATAAAGGAAAGCAAGAAAATGATTACTGTGGAAGAGAGGGGGCTCTGATTGGGAAAGTGTATACTGGGAGCTTCTAAGGTTTTGGCAATGTTCTATTCTTAAGCTGAGTCATGGGTATGTGAGTATTCATTTTACTTTTATTTTTTCACAAGTTAAAAAAATTAAAAGCACAGAAGAGTGTGTAGCGTATACTTCCATTTATGTAATATATACACACACTGATTCATGTATAGAAAATTTTTTCCAGACAGATACATGTGAAACTGTTAACTTGTCCTTAAAGAGGGAGACTAGGGTCTGAGATAGGATAAAAACTTACTTTTAATTGTATGCCTTCTTTTTTACTTTTTAACCATGTGCCTATTTCTAGTTACAGTAATATAAAATGAACACTTACACATTATTCTCCTTTGACATAATTGCACATATTTTAACATTACCTTACTACAAAGCACCTCATTGTTAAACCAATTCAGTTATATAATATGGGTCAAATCATGTCCTTTGTGAAATTATATACAGTAATTCTTTTTTTCTTTTGGAGACAGAGTCTCACTCTCTCACCTACATGCTTGCTGACTAAAACATGGAAAATCTATAATGTACTATAGTGCTACATCAGGACTACACCATGATTCTACTCTAGATTAACAATTTTTTCAGGCTCAATATAACAAAATATCTGTACCATATACATGGAAGTTGTCCTCTAATTTGAAATAGTGAGATTTCCTTGGTGAAGAGCCCATTTCTTTTGCACAGTAGTTAATTATGTTTATTCAAATAAAGAATTAAGAACCTCCTGTATGTTAGTCATTGGAGGATGAAATAAAAAGTAAGATACATGTTCCTTGCCTATAAGTGAGGCTATAATTAAGTAGAGGAGACAAGTATAAAACAAATAATTGTAAAAAAGAATATGGAAGAATGATTATAGAAGTTCAGAGTGTTATAACAATATATATAAAGGAAACATTGTAAGACTACATAAAAAGGAAAATAACTTGAGCTTTAGAACTGTGGTTAAATAAGAAAATATTTAATAAGAAGAAAATATTTAATAATAAGAGTCAGGCTATACAAAAAGTATGAATAGACATAAAATGGAAATTATAATTTGTGTCATTTTTAATATGGAACTTCCAATACAATATGCAATGCAACCTTACAGATTACTGTATTATATAAACCAAATAGTTTTTACTGGTAATAACTTTACAAAACAAGTAAAACAAATTCAATTTCAGGCATCTAAGATGATTTAAACTAAAGCTTCTTTTGGTTTGTTTTCAATCTCAGGTTCAAAAACTACAAAATAGATATTGCCTCAACATACAGATATAATGCAATACTGAGATATGTAAACAGCAATATAACTTAGCAGTCAGGGGCCATTTACCAATTTGGCCATTGGTAAATCACACCTGAATGTGCCGCAGCTTTGCTGCTTACTAACTTTTACCAACTCAGAAAGTATTTAATCTTCCTAAGTCTCAGTTTCCCCATCTGGAAAATGGGGATAATACAAAATTTATTTCATAGGGAAGATTAAATTAGTTAATACTATATTAAAAAATTTTCATGGTGCCTTGCACATAATACTCATTATTAGCTAATGCTATTATATTCTTTCAATTTAGCAATCATCACCGAATTTTAAGTTGAGTTCATTTTTCCCTATGTACTGGAAAACAAGTCTTCTGAAAACATACACAAATCAGTTTCTTCCAGTCTTATTTTTTTTGTAACTCTAATTCCTAATTAAAAAGACTTTGAGTAAGAACTTATTTTTCAGTGCTGACAACTACTGTGGTATTCAACTTAAATATTTTTATATGTAGTTCCCTAGTTAAATACTTAAAATTATATTCATATATTCCCAACTGCAGTATTATATCCAACTAAAGGGTAGAAAAGGAAATATTTTCTTAAATTACACTGATTCTAGCTGAATTCTGACCTATAGATTGGAAAACCATGTGATTAAAACCATTTAACGGATCACAAAGTTAATATAAAGTCAATGGAAAAATTGGAAAACAAACTATATTCCTTTGTCATAGTTCGGTGTGTTCAGTAAAGTCAGTGAGTACTAAAGCTATCAAATATAAATAATGCCTATGTTATAGACATAGATCCACAAAGAGTATGTTTAGAGAATTTTCCACTAACTCTTCAATGTAAAAGGGCAATGATGATGGTGATTTTTACTACATATTAATTGAAAATTTCAAAGAGCATAATTCTGGCTTTAAGAAATATCTAAGTCATAAAGAGGAGAATTTGGGATAATTTATATGAGAGTATTCTGAAAAATGTAAATGATGCAGTACAAACTCAAGTGGAATATTGAACAATAAATCTTAGGCATATAGCATGATAAGCTCAGTGCAAAAAACATAAAAATATCCTATTAAAGAAAAAATATATAGCTTTTATACAGGAAGGCCTATTCAAAGATACCATACAAAGTTTCAAACAGACTCTGTTTTAAATAAAGTATCATATATATTATAAATAACACAAAAATCATTTAGTAGAAAGAATACTTACAGGGCAATAAAGAAATTTATCCTGGTATGCTCACTTATAGTAAATTTAGCCCTCTTGAAATAAACAAAGGTCATAGCCAAAAGATACTATAAGGAAAAAAATTAAAAATTAATATTAATGTTTTGCTCTTAAAACTGCTTTAAAATAGTTAACCAAAAATTTCTGATGAATAAGCTAAAGTAATAAAGAATTATTTATCCTATTATATAATTACCTATTTTAGCATTTGTTTTTTGACTTCCTGTAATCCATATGAACAGTGAGAAATAGCTCTTGACTATTTATCATAATTAACTAGAATGGACTTCTAAATTTTATTATAGCCAATATTCTTTTGAACTAAAGCCCCATTTTTTCCTAACTTAAATTTCAAACCTAAGAAGTTGAAGTAATAGTAAAATAAATAAATCCTTCACTTAGATTCATCAATTATTAATATTTTCCTGTTTGATATCTCTATTTTTGTGTATATATAATTTTTTTCTGAACCCTTTAAGTTAGTTGCAGACATCCAAACTCCCTTTTTTTTTTTTGTTTTTAAAGATGGTCTTGTTCTGTTACTCGGGCATGAGAGCAGTGGCGTCATCAAAGCTCAAGGCAACCTCAAACTCTTGGGCTCAAGCAATCCTCCTGCCTCAGCCTCCTGAGTAGCTGGGACTACAGGCACACCACCATGCCCAGCTAATTTTTCTTTTTTTGTAGAGACGGCAGTCTTGCTATGTTGCTCAGGCTGGTCTCAAATTCCTGACCCTAAGCAATCTGCCTGCCTCAGCCTCCCAAAGTACTAGGATTACAGGTGCGAGCCACTGCACCTGGCCCATGCTCACTTTTTAAAATAACTTTTAAAAATGACTTCTACATGACTTCAGAGATTAGAATAACATGGCTCTATTTTCATGGGGAAAAAATGTTTTAAATGTACTATTAGAAAGATCCATCTCAAGCCTGACATTAGAACACATGCCAGGTTCTGGCTGTTCGAATTAAAAACAAGTTATAATATCAGTGCAGCAGATTCTCATAAAACACTTATTTATCCTAACATTACAGAATTTATCACAAAGATGATTCCAAGTTTTCACAGTAACTTCCAGTAAAGGACTCTTGAAATAGAGTTATAA